AGCGAAACAACTACTCACTTGTAACACCTGTAATCTTCGCCTCTCATGATAAGTTACATGACCTTATTGTGTTGTAAGTGTCGTAAAACTCTTTCCAAAGCGAAACAACTACTCACTTGTAACACCTGTAATCTTCGCCTCTCATGATAAGTTACATGACCTTATTGTGTTGTAAGTGTCGTAAAACTCTTTCCAAAGCGAAACAACTACTCACTTGTAACACCTGTAATCTTCGCCTCTCATATGGCCATATTCTGTTGCAAGTGCCGTATAACTCTTGACTAGATTATAACAACTGTCTTGTAACACCTCTTTGTCCTCGCCACTTGTTTGGCGTTATACGACCTTATTGTACATGTATTGCAAGTGCCATCAAACAATTACTATATTGTGTTGAAAGTGCCGTAAAACTATTACTGAAACAAAACAACTACTCTCTTGTAACACCTCCAATCACCGGCACTTACATAACCAAATTGTGTTACAAGTGCCGTAAAACATTTACCCTATTGTGTTGCAAGTGCTGTAAAACTATTACTAAAACAAAAATAATTCTCTTGTAGCACCTCTAATCTTCGGCACGTCTATGACCTAATTGTGTTGCAAGTGCTGTAAAACTCTTGTTGTTACATAAACTAAGTGAATGTTTGGTTTGATGTCCCCAGGAGCCTTCCTGATCCCGTTCTTCATCATGCTGGTGGTGTGTGGCGTGCCTTTGGCCTACATGGAGATGGCCATTGGTCAGTACACCAGGCAGGGACCCATTGGCGCCATCGGGAAGATGTGTCCCTTCTTCAAAGGTGAGATGATGGGTGGTTGGAGGATGGTTCTGGTGTAGTTTGTTCCTTCGTTCCTATCAAACAACTATCGTCTTTATCTCCCCTCCGTCTATTTTGTGTTTGTTACTCTCTTGTGACATGACACCTTTAATCTTCGGCACTTACATGACCTTATTGTGTTGCAAGTGCCGTAAAACTATTACTAAACTAAAACAAAAAATTCAAAGGTGAGGTGATGGGTGGTTGGAGGGTGGTTGGAGGGTGGCTTTGGTCAGGACACCAGGCAGTGACCTATTGGCGCCATCGGGAAGATGTGTCCGTTCTTCAAAGGTGAGAGGTTGGGTGGATCTTTCCTTCCAGAAGATTTGGGGTGTGGCTGAAAGACAGCAGTAAGAAGGAACCAAGGGGTAGCAGTAGAAAGGCTGCAGAAAGAGTCAGGAGCCCAGAGGAGGGGGCAAATGAGGTGAGGGGGTGGGGGCAGAAAGTGGAGACAAAAGCAGACGACAGAACAGTGCTAGAGAGCAGGAAATGGGGTGAAAGGAGACTATTTTAGAAAAGAAAAAATTTCCGTCGCTACCCGGATTCGAAACCGGGACCTATTGAATGTGTGGCGAACACCTTGACCTCTAGGCCACGAGGGCTCCCAAACAGGAATTATTGCATGTGGGGAATGACTTCCTGATCTGGCACTTACTTGACCAAAATTGAGTCGATAGTGCCGTAAAACACCTACTCAATCAATCAATCATGACTTGCAGATCTGGAAATAAGGACTTAATACGTTGACCCCCGTGTGACCAAACACTGTTTTGTTGCCAGGTGCCACAGTTTGGCTGCAGGGCTATTTACACTCGTACGTGTTTCTCTCTCTGTCTCTCTCTCTCTCTCTCTCTCTCTCTGTCTCTCTCTCCCTCCCTCTCTCTCTCTCTCTCTCTGTCTGTCTCTCTGTCTGTCTCTCTGTCTCTCTGTCTGTCTGTCTCTCTGTCTGTCTCTCTGTCTCTCTCTCTCTCTGTCTCTCTTTTTTTCTCTCTCTGTCTCTGTCATTCAGTCTGTCTGTCTGTCTGTCTGTCTGCCTCTGTCTGTCTGCCTCTGTCTGTGTCTGTCTGTCTTTCTGTCTGTCTCTCC